CTTGAGTCGATAATAATAATTTTGACAGTTTGTTTTCGAAGTAAATCAAGTTGTCAGATTTTTTTTAGAATACAGATGTTTTGAAGAAAAAAAAAACATTACTGAAACTTATTAGAATAAAATACTATTACTTTTTAAAGGATTATTGTATTCAGTGCATTTTCTTCTAAAACGGATATTTAATAACAGAGGTATTGTAAGCAGCATATTACAGTTCATTTTCATTATTAAATCCATTGTCCTGAAGTAATAAGTTTGTTTTAGCAGAGGCTATATATTTTTGGACAATATACATGATGACAAAGCGATTTCAAATAATTGAAATTTAAATACACCTAAAGCTTACGAAGGTTAGTATATTTAACATTTTGGAATTTCGTACAGAGCTAGCGAATACATTCTTTTTACCAATTGTGTAGTTTTAAAACAAAAATTTCGTTGCGTATGATTTATAAATATTTTATAGGATATATATTTGGTCATCTATGTGACTTTCTAGGTTAATTGTACAACAAGCTATCTATATCATCTGTATGCACCCTTAGCATAGAATAACCATTTCAGATCTTAAGTTTTTTTTTTCTGGATCACAACTAAAACACTATTGTTGGAAATCATTTTAGTGACTAAAGATTGTTAGAATAAGTAGATAAGTGAGCTAAGAACTCTTGGTATTGTTGAAACTATAGTTTAAGGATAGGATCTTTCTTATATCAACCTCCGTTATCTTAAACTGGTCCATATGTTTTTCTCTGCCCTCGTTGGTCAGCGATTAGTTTGGCGTATACATGTTAGAGCAACGTTGTACGTTGAGGTTTAACAAATAAATAAATAACTAATGTGCACTTTCAAGATTTCTATTTTTTTATTGTTTAAAAATGTATTATTTTAATACTTAACTTTTAACATTATAACAAAATTGTAATGAATATACATATTTCATTCAAACTAATTTTCTATTTCTTTAATAAAATATTTAATATATTACTAATATTCTCTTATTTAAAACTCAACTTGTAAGATTGAACCAGAGTATTCGTTAATTCTAGTGTTATACAAATTAAAAATAGTTGCGGTATTTTTTAAGGAAATATTATTATATTATTATTATTATTATATTATTGTTAATAAATATTATTATTAGTTGACTATTAAACTATTATTATAGACCCTGCATGCTATACAGTGACGGTGGAACTTTCCTCATGTAATTGTGCAATAGAAATATGAAAAATTAAAGATTGACGTTATTATCCATACCACGTTAAAAAGCCTTGGTCTAGATATAAAGGTGTGAAGACAGATATGTAGTGCTCAAATTAAAAAGTAATGATAGAAAGCAGGTTTCCTCATAAACAAGGTTATAAAAGATGAGATCGTACTAAGGCTAATCCATGGGTTTATGTTTCAGAAGAAGACAAGTCTTTCCCCAATCCAGCTGCAGACCTCATTCGTCAGTTCCCTCCTCGGCACACCTACGTTGACAACAGAACCTCAACCGCCATAAAAAAACACAATGTTCCTACAACAACTAACCTGCCGTATTCACAACACACCACATCTACCACATGCACTCATGCTTCTGGGTCATTTACATACATGCTTGTATGGTTGCAGGTACCGTTGCAAGTACAATATGGAAAAGATTATCAGAAATCAAAGTAAGTCCTTACTCACAACACACCACATCTACCACTATAAGTCCACTGTAAACTTACCTCAATACAACCAACAGATACAACTCACTAACTCGTATTACATGACATTCGAATTTTAAAAATAAATCTTAGTTTAGATACTAATCGTTTTTTAATATATTTTCAGATTGAGACAAATATATCAACTAGGGACTATTTCTTTATTTGTTGCCTAGTAATTGGAGTACAATAATTGTTTCTCCGATTTGTTTTATTACATAAGTAATCACTCGGGCAGGCATAGAGAGCATATTTTTCATGTCAAAAATTAAACTAATATCTACAGATCCTAATATGCCATTTAAGTTTAAAAGGACTCAATTACCATTGCGATTACCTTTCGCTATTACTATAAATAAAGTGCAACGCCAAACCTTCACAAAAGTTGGCATTTATTTGAAAAACCAGTGTTTACCCATGGTAAACTTTATTTTGCTTTTAGCCTGGTAAAGCAGCCAGATGATGTTAAAATAGTACTAGAACCAAATAAAGACCAAGGAATCGACCAAAATGGATAAAAGACCAAGGAATCGACCAAAATGGATACCATACCTACAACAAATGTTGTTTTCAGAGACATTTTGTTATGGAATTAGCATTTCAAAATTTGGAGGATGACATTATCTCTATGTGTTATATCTAATACAAACTCCCTCCTTTATATAGATTCAAAGAAATGTATATATATATATATTTAATTAATAGTCATGAAGATTATTATTGAGAATGTTCCTTAGTTGTATTAAATAAACACACCACATGAACAGTTCTTTGGAATCTTTTTTAAACATAGCAGACATCAAAATGCATTATTCAGGTACCGTATGTAATTACTACTATAGTATACATTATATTATATTATATTATACATATTATAAAATACAAACATGTTGAACCATAATTCAAGATACGGTAACCCATGAGACTAATAATTTGGACAAAATAATAATAATAATAATAATTACTTTAATATATAGGCCTATAGGGGCTGATGCCCCTACAAGCCAATAGTTATAATTAAAATTATGATGAAATCAAATCTGCAACTGATTATCCTTTAGGGTTTAAGTCAAATTGGTTAGCACAAATCAGAGCGAGAACCAACTGTTTGTCTGGCGTTACCTAAAAAAAATTGTAGCTTACTCTATATTTGGAGTTTTTGAGACTTGTTGAGTAATAACTTAGTGTCACGTGTATTATCTTGTTATATAATACGACTCCCAGATTTTAGCACCCAGCACGACTCAAAAATTAGTTAGTTCATAACACGTGTAGTGCCCTTAAGAAGAAATAAAATTGGAAGAGCTTAATGTGCTTATGCTACACCATTGAGCTTTTTGTCTGCTTATGTACACTTTAGTGGTTTGAAGACCACTGAGTACCAATCACTCTGTATAGTAGTTAAACACATAAAAAAATACATTATTTAGAATAAATATTACAATTTCATTTTAATACACATTAAATAAAAAATACAACCGCATTGTTTGACAGACAATTATCTAGATCCAATCAAAACTGATAATTTTTTTATTTTAAACACCCCAAACCTGCGTTCATTGATAAACCGATAATGTTATGCAGTTATACCTCAGCACACTCATTTACAGTAGTTTGGTCTCCCGCTATACACCGAATGGACGATAAAAGCATTTAAGCCCCAATTATCACTAACCCCCTTTACAAGCCCATGAATAACAGGGAATGGTTATCTGTTTACTATGACTCTATCAGATATAAGTAAAGCGAATCAATATATAGCTCACCAACAGGTGTTTATATAGAAATCGTCAAGTGTAAAAAATAAGCTTACATGAAATAGTATCTGTTTGTCTGTTACGTGTACTGGATAATATATTTATTCTGAACGATTACTTGGAAATTCAATGTAAGACTAATTTATAATTTAAGGAGACTATCAGGATATATATATTACATTTACCTACAATTAACAGTAAAGGTATCATTATTTTTATTGATAAAATAAAATAAATAAAATTTTAAAATCTATATTGTTATTGGCTTAAGATGATTCTTTTAAACCTAAAAACTCTTACAAGACCATAAATTGAGTAGTGGAGAGTACAGTTTTGTGTCTTTATGCTGTTGACCATTCAACACACCTATCAACTCACAAAGGAAGGTTTTTCGATTGAGTATTTAAACTTGAAGAACTGTTTAAGTTAGCCTGATACATTATAACCCGGCAAACGGGTTAATACAGTTGTTTTTATTATTTATTTATTTAGGGAAACTATTGTTATAGTTGTTGTATAGTGGTTTGAATATTTTGTTTTCGTTGAATAAATATACTGCGAAATAAACTGTATGAATATATATATCATGGAATGAAAGTTTTTCTGATGACCTTTAAGTGTTTGTGTGATCCAAAACACTTGTTCAAACGAATATTGAAGTGAGGTTAAATTAAATAGTATTACGCCATAGTATCTCATATTTATTATTTCACATATTTATATTAATTATTAATTTTGGGTACGGTATTGAACAAAATATTCTTGTCAATACAAGATGGTATATTCAACTGATAATATTATCGTATTAAAGTGGTGCGATCGACTCTTTTTATAAAAGGAAACAGTTAATTATACATTATTCAAACGCAGATTTATAATATATTACCATATATTTTGGCCTTGGAAAAGTATCGAATGAGTTCATAAAGTAACAACGCATAGTTAAGACAATCCATGGAATTTTTCATAAATCTTGGAATGACAATACAAATTACTTAAAGGTATTGGTTCGCACGAACGATAAATACAACAATCCCCTATATCGTTTATCACCTATAAATATTATTCAAACTACACAGTATAATCTGGAATATTTTGTTACTTTTTCCATAATGTCTAGTCGCTTGTAAAATAATACTTTAGATTAAGGATTACTAACAGTAATTTCAACATTTACCACATACAGTTTTGTTGTCATATTATATTACCTATTTTGATTTAATCACTATAATATCTAGAAAATATACAAAGCGTACCGTTATACCTAACCAGTATATGACATAAACCACATAATATAATAACACTTTATCTCAAAATGAAATAGTTGTAAAAATATTGACGTGATTAGTAATAAAAATATAGTATTTTTCAGTAGGTATTAACAAATTATCTGTTATCATTTTCTGGGGAAAGCTTTAATTTCCTTGCGGGCGGGTTAAACAAGTTTCATAGAGTAAAAACACTACTTGTTCAGACATTGTTAAACTTAATCAACTCTACTAATTCTAAAACACACACTGGATCAAAAATCGTGTTTTCTATTTACCGATAAATTCAGAGTTGGCGGTGAGTACGATGACGAACAAGAAGAGAAGAACTGCCATGGCTCACCACACATCACGGGAAACGCGCCCACACTGAGCGACGCGACGCGACGCTTTACCATTCCCGCCCCCAGGACCACCCCCAGAACCACCCCCGCCGCCAACAACACCGTAATTGGCCAAAATGTTGTAATATCCAACGGAAATTAAATATCTGGAAACTCAATTTCGGTCAAACTAAAACCGGCTACTTTTGTATTCAAAGGTCGCATAATGCAAATGAGATATCGGTCCGGTAATGAAACATTGATTGAGATGCATAAAAGCTGCCCAGTTCGTTATGGGGTTTTTTAGAAATGCAATGAGATTTAACGGTAACAATTTAATTTTGAAAACACTATGTAGATATCTATTTTTATAAAGTTTTTCAACGCATTAGTTTTGCGCTTAATTTGTCCAGTGGAGATATAAAGCTTCTTTAGTACTGATAGTAGTGTTTAAATTAAAATGAGGTTTTGAGCTTGTCTTTTAAAGTAGTTGAATTTGATTCAAGGTATATCACGTAGGCTTCAAGGTCATCAGGCGAGGTTAAACCAACCACCAATTATGGTTGCTTACAGATACATTTAACGATTTGCAGCATGTTCCATAAAACGTCCACAGTAATTATGGAATAATTGTTTTGCATAAGAAGAATAAAGTGTACTAAATAATAAAAAATGCCCTATTTTTATCAAGCGTTTATCAGTAAAGGTACTGCTTTTCAGAACAAATTGCGTCAATAACAATAATTAAACTAACAAACAAATAAATAGACCAATAACAAAACAGAAAAAAACAATAGAAATAGCAATAATTAAACATCAGTGAACAATTCTTTGATCAATGCTAAATGACGACAAAGCATAATTTTTGAGGCCAGAGGGGAGGTCGTTGTACAGCTTTGTGCCGAAGTACGAGAAGCTTCTTCTTCCAAACTAGTGTTAATACTAGTGTTGGTTTTGAATTAGTACTATTGTGTCATCTTAGCTCAAAACCGTAACCAGTAAGCATTAAGTTAGTTCCCTTCCTATAAAAAAACCAAATTTCATCTTAAGTATTCTTTATTTATTGCTCCAAAAAAATCTGCATTCTAGTCGCAGGATAGCTAACCCACAGAAAAACTGAAACCATCATTGACCCAAAACCACTAACAAAACTCCTTCGCTGTATATTCTTTTTCAGACTCGAACGAATGCCAACCACAATAACCTCACGTAAAACGGCGCAAGACCAAAATGAAAAACAACCCCATAGAGCGACACCTCAAAGCAATAAACTCATAGATTGCAAGGTCAGCAATAAACTAGAGGCAAGCCGTAAAGCCACGTTTATTGATTCTACACATGGCAGTTATAAGGCGAGGGTTGTGGTGCGTGCGGGCGTGTGGTAATAGAGGTATAATACCAGACAGCGCCGTCTGTAATGTGGAGTATTACCAGGGATTATCGCCGTCTCACGCGAACCACAAGACTTGGCGGCAATCACAACACGCGGTAGACACATTTAGTGATTGTAAGGTGGATTTGTTGGAACCCCTGGTCAGTAGGGATTGGATTGACAAGACTTGGTGGCAATCACAAGACGCAGTGGACACATTTAGTGATTGTAAGGTGGATTTGTTGGAACCCCTGGTCGGTAGGGATTGGATTGACAAGACTTGGTGGCAATCACAAGACGCAGTGGACACATTTAGTGATTGTAAGGTGGATTTGTTGGAACCCCTGGTCGGTAGGGATTGGATTGACAAGAGTTGGTTGGAATCACAACACGCGGTAGACACATTTAGTGATTGTAAGGTGGATTTGTTGGAACCCCTGGTCGGTAGGGATTGGATTGACAAGACTTGGTGGCAATCACAAGACGCAGTGGACACATTTAGTGATTGTAAGGTGGATTTGTTGGAACCCCTGGTCGGTAGGGATTGGATTGACAAGACTTGGTGGCAATCACAAGACGCAGTGGACACATTTAGTGATTGTAAGGTGGATTTGTTGGAACCCCTGGTCGGTAGGGATTGGATTGACAAGACTTGGTGGCAATCACAAGACGCAGTGGACACATTTAGTGATTGTAAGGTGGATTTGTTGGAACCCCTGGTCAGTAGGGATTGGATTGACAAGACTTGGTGGCAATCACAAGACGCAGTGGACACATTTAGTGATTGTAAGGTGGATTTGTTGGAACCCCTGGTCGGTAGGGATTGGATTGACAAGACTTGGTGGCAATCACAAGACGCAGTGGACACATTTAGTGATTGTAAGGTGGATTTGTTGGAACCCCTTGTCGGTAGGGATTGGATTGACAAGACTTGGTGGCAATCACAAGACGCAGTGGACACATTTAGTGATTGTAAGGTGGATTTGTTGGAACCCCTGGTCGGTAGGGATTGGATTGACAAGAGTTGGTTGCAATCACAAAACGGGGTATACACATTTAGTGATTGTAAGGTGGATTTGTTGGAACCCCTAGTCTGTAGGGATTGGATTGACAAGAGTTGGTTGCAATCACAACACGCGGTTGACACATTTAATGATTGTAAGGTGTATTTGTTGGAACCCCTGGTCGATAGGGATTGGATTGACAAGAGTTGGTTGGAATCACAACACGCGGTAGACACATTTAGTGATTGTAAGGTGGATTTGTTGGAACCCCTGGTCGGTAGGGATTGGGTTGACAAGACTTGGTGGCAATCACAAGACGCAGTGGACACATTTAGTGATTGTAAGGTGGATTTGTTGGAACCCCTGGTCGGTAGGGATTGGATTGACAAGACTTGGTGGCAATCACAAGACGCAGTGGACACATTTAGTGATTGTAAGGTGGATTTGTTGGAACCCCTGGTCGGTAGGGATTGGATTGACAAGACTTGGTGGCAATCACAAGACGCAGTGGACACATTTAGTGATTGTAAGGTGGATTTGTTGGAACCCCTGGTCGGTAGGGATTGGATTGACAAGACTTGGTGGCAATCACAAGACGCAGTGGACACATTTAGTGATTGTAAGGTGGATTTGTTGGAACCCCTGGTCGGTAGGGATTGGATTGACAAGACTTGGTGGCAATCACAAGACGCAGTGGACACATTTAGTGATTGTAAGGTGGATTTGTTGTTTAGTGAATAGAACCTCATTTAAATAGGATAAATACTTTAAATAAAAGTCAAGAGGTTTCCACTAAATATTATTGTTTAATTTATCATACTTTTACAAGTAATTAACAAATAATTGTTTAGAGCAAATAAAAATGAACCACTTTGGTTGAAAAGCCTAAAAGAATGTCACTTTGTTTATTTTTCTCTTCATAGTAACCAAAATTCAATAAGACTATTTAAAACATCTGTCAGCTGATAAATCTGTCAGCCACTACAGGAGCCCCCTACGAAGACTGGAAGTCCATGGAGTTTTTGGAGGGTTCCGAAAGGTCACAAAAAAAATAACAAATAAAAAAAAATAACACAGGACAAAGGCAATTTCCATCAAACTGAAATTGGATTCTTGAATGTCACTTTTCTTCCAGACTTTGTCGTATACGACTTTTGAAAATCCACATCGTTTGAAGTCTGAGATACAGTTGAGGGCTTAACTTCATCATTCTGAAGGACATAGGCCGGTTTAACTCTGTCAAGACTAACTTTAACATTAGAACCATTCACTTTTATTGTGATAGTTTTACTGTCTTTCTTGATCACTGGATGAGGTCCGGTGTATGGATGTTGTAAAGATTTTCTCGCAGCATCCACTCTCAGAAAAACGTGTGAACATGTGTCCAAATCACGAAAAATGAAGCTTCGGTTAATGCCGTGTCTCTTGATGTTTGTTGGTTTCATTGATGAAATCTTGAGTCGTAATCGAGACACAAAATTAGTCGGATCCTCTAAGGGTGCTAGCTGGGTTGTTGGCATAAAATACTCGCCAGGGAGGCGTAAAACCTCTCCAAAAACCATTTCAGCAGACGAGGTGTTCAGATCCACACGGAAAGCATTTCTTATTCCAAGAAGCACTGTGGGTAAGGATTCGACCCACGTGGAGGCGGAGTGGCACATGATGGCCGCCTTGAGTTGTCTGTGGAAACGTTCCACCATGCCATTTGCGCACGGGTGGTAACTTGTTGTCCTTAATCTTGAAAATCCACACAATTTTCCCAACTCAGCAAAGAGTGCAGATTCAAATTGTTTACCCTGGTCTGTTGTTATTCGCAAGGGAACACCGTACCTTGATATCCAACAATTGAAAAGAGCTGACGAGACTTCTTCGGCAGAGATGCCTTGCAAGGGGTGTGCTTCCGGCCATCTGGTGAACCTATCTACTACTGTAAGACAGTAACGAAGATTTCCAACTTGGGGTAATGGGCCGATTATATCCACATGAATATGTTCAAATCTACAATTTGGCAAAGGGAAATCGTTGATAGGTGTTTGAACATGACGAGTAATTTTTGAACGTTGACACTCTCGACAGGACAAGGTCCACTCTTTACAATCACGATTTATTGAAGGCCAAACATATCTTGAAGTTAACATTTTATTCATGGATTTTATCCCAGGGTGACTTAAGTTATTGTTGGAAAGCTTAATTTAAGATAAACTCACAGATTAACAAACACTTCTAACATTATTTTATTTTCATGAACTGAACAAGAATTGTGTATATAAAAACTAAAAAACAAAACATTGGCAGATGACTAATTTAAATCATTTAAATAATCAGCTGACAAAAGCAAGTAAAGACTATTTGAAATAAATTCATTTTACCAACATCCTCCCTTTCTTAACTTTTTTTTATGTCTTTAAAAAGCGTCTGTTGCGAACATATAAGTTTCCACCAACTTGTACCACATATCTTCGATCTCTTTCTTTTTTTATAACTTTACCTTCTACCCAGGGATCCCTTCTCTCTTGAGGTTTCCTTTGAACCCAAACAACTTGTCCTGGTATCAGTGGGGCGAGGTCTTTAGCTCCTTTGTCAAAATATGTTTTGTATGCATCTTTCTTTTTATCCCACTTTTCAATTACTTTCACAGGAACATTAGGACGCAGCAGATCTTCAC